TTGGTAAGATTGCAAATTGGTGCAGCCACTATGGAAAACAGTATGAAAATTCCTCAGAAAATTAAAAATCAAACTACCTTATAACTCAGCAATTCCACTCTTGGGTATTTATCCAAAGAAAACAAAGGCACTAATTTGAAAAGATATATGCACACCTATGTTTATTGCATTTTTTTTTTACAATAGCCAAGATATGGAAGCAACCTAGGTGTCCATAGATAGATGACAGGGTAAAACATTGTGGTATATATAGTCAATGGAATATTTCTCAGCCACAAAAAAGAATGAAATCTTGCCATTTGTGACCACATGGGTGGACCTAGAGGGCATTATTATAAATGAAATAAGTCAGACAGAGAAAGACAAATACCGTATGATTTCACTTTTATGTTGAATCTAAAAAATGAAACAAATGAACTAAGAAAACTGTTGAAATAGACTCATATATACAGAGAACAAAGTGATGGTTGCCAGAGCGGAGAGAGTGGAGGGATGGGTAAAAAAGGTGAAGGGAATAAGAAGTACAAACTTCCAGTTATAAAATAAATCACAGGGATGTAATGTATAGCATATGGAATATAGTAAATGATATTATAACTTTATACATTGACAGGTGGTTACTAGTCATGGTGATCACTTTGTAAGGTACATAAATGTCAAATTACTCTTATACACAAAAAACTACTATAGTGTATGTCAACTATAATTTAAAAATAAGTTAATTTAAAAAAAGACATGGTACAGGAAACATAAGCTCCAAATAGGAGAGGGGTGAAGAAGGGATTTCTAGGAAGTTAGTGAACAGACATCATGAGATGCCAGCTGGAAGCTGTGTGCATCTAGACAGACAAACATGCTGCAGGACATAGGATTGGCATAGGTTCCTTACTTAAAAAAACAAACAAACAAGAAAAGAAAAACACCTCCTGAATGCCCTGGGGAGCCCTGCCCAGAGAAATGTAATGATCTTCAAATATGCTGATAAATTTCCTGCTCTTTCCTCCGGGTCTTGCTGCCTAAATTGGCTGTAGACATTTATTTCATCCCACCAAAGTTTTTTGCTTTTATTTAGTTCTGCAAGCTGAAGCAAGGCCATAGTGGGCTTAGAAGCGACAAACCAGTTCACTTCACTCCCGCTGTTCATATGTTTAGTACCTGTTTTATACCATAACCCTTCCAAATTCATAGACTGGTGAGCCTCAGATTTCCCAGAACTCATGCATGGAGCCTCCCACTGAATACCCCAGAAGATCCTCTTGAAAACTCTCAGGAAGCCTAAGACCCAGAAACTACTGAGTTTATTTTGTCCTGGAATCCCTCACACAACTGGCTTTGTATTTGCCAGCCTGTGCAAGTGGAGGGAGGCAAGAAGATGAATGCTGAGAAGCAGCAAACACCAGCGGATTTGAAGTTCAATTTCATAACCTGGGTGAAGGATATAAAGTTTTTCTTTAATTTTTTTTTTGGATTAAGCATTTACATTTTACACATAATTTCACATGCAGAAAATAAAAGGGAAAGAAAGAAGCCTACTCATAGAGTAACAGTTGGACTATAACTTGGAACAAACTTCCCAAATAACTTTTTGGCAATGAATATCAAAAACCTTAAAACTGGACATTTTTGACCCCAATAATTCTACTTCTCAAAACATTCTATAAAAGTTGGACAATGCCCAAAGTATACAGAAAGGCTTTGCTAAATCAGAAACTAACAGTTAAAAATTAGGAACCCAAAACACCCACTCTTGTAGAATTGATTGAAGTAAGGGGGATATTCACACAATTGACCATTACACAATCATTAGATACAATGCATTTTCTGACATGGGTAAAGTTCACATTACACTGTAATTTACTTGAAAACACTTACGCATAGACCATATGATCTGTGTATTCACTGGTTTTAATCTACTCTCCAGGGGTGGTCAGTTAATAGTATTTGAACAATCCTGTTCAGTGCATACACTCCAGGCATCTGTACATTAGAAGCAGCTACTGCAAGTGCTTCATAACAACTAATTTCATTAGCATTGAAAGATTTTCTAACATGCATAAGAGATGCTCAAAATATTTATTCATTGGTTAAAAAACACAAGCATATTTGCTCTTGCATGAACAGGAGTATAACAGAAACCTATACCCATAAGAGTGGTTAGCACTAGAATATCTCAGTGTCTGCCTCTGGTAAACTTGTCATACAAGGAACTTCAAGTACCTAAGAGACATGAGCTCTTGCATCATGCTTGTGTGAACGGGTTTTGGGACGCTTTATGGTCTCTTGCTAAATGTGTGTATTATTTTCAGTACTTCTGAGAAGCAGATGCCAAGACAGGATTATTGCAGGTTTATTGGGGGACATACACATAAAGGAAAAGAGGAGAAAGCTGCAGAAGGCAAGGAGGACCTTCAGACTGTGACAAAGGTCTGGTATGTGAAGGGGACAGGGAGCAAGGCAGATGGAAAGAGTTTCAGATTACAGTGGGGTTCCAAGAAAGTTTCAGCCAGTCTGATGGGGTATCCTTATGACAAAGTCACCCCTCCAGAGTAGTCATGCGGGTTGCAGCAAAGGTCCTGCATTAATATCCCCCAACTGTGCTCAGCCATGGGAAGCATGACATCAGTGTGAGTGGGTTGGTAGGTCCAGAGGAGCAGCAGCAGCTGGCTCTGCCAGTCCAGTGTGCTCCCCACAGCAGGGGACCTGAGTGTTTTCATCATGGCTGCCATAATGTGCGTGGTAGTATTCAGACTGAGACAAGCCACCTAGGGGAGAGATTCTGGGTGTCCTTGCCAATAATCTAACCATTGGAAATAACAGATAACTAGGGGAAAAAATAGCCAAATTAGCTGGAATCTATTCTCAAAAATATAAGTGTGCATATGTGGGTTTCGATGTGAATATAGCATGGCCCCATTCTTTGTTTTTAAGTCAATTACATTATATTTATTTTTTAATAAATTAATTAATTTTATTAAACAAAGTGGGTGGGATTTTTTTTTAAATTATTTTCCTAGCTACCATTAAAATTCCTTTTAGGGACTTTGCCTCCTTCCATCTCATGGGCCCTCAGGTCCCAAATCCCCCATGAAACCATCTCATCAAGGCCTTTTCCTAAGGTACTGTGAATAAGAAATAAATAGGAATCTGAGGTGTGGAAAACATGAAGAAGAGCAAAGGAACAATGTGTTCAGAGGCCAAAGGGCTTTACGCTACCTTGTAAATGACAATGTTTCGGGGACAATGAGGAAAAGGAGCTATATGCCATGTGGAGGTAAGGAAACATCTGCATGAAGAGGAAAGAAATGATAACTAAGATTGACAAAGTGCCTGAGCAGCTCCAGAAATCTTAGGGCATGCACTACCTTCCCTCATGACTTGGGTCCGGGGAGGGGCGGGTGGGGGAGTGGGGAGTATAAGCTGATTTGAGGTAGATCGTAAGAAGTAGGGTCACCACAACTGACATCTTACTTAAAAATATATACAAACACAAAATATATGTGAGTAGAAAATATTTGACAGCACGAATAAAATGCTTGTATTGTTTCTTTACAGGATGGGGTTCTAAATGATTCTTTTTCTTGTCTCTATTTTTAAATTTTTTACAATGAACATGAATTGGTATACTATAAAGAAAAAGATGTTGAAAGAAAAGAAAATAATTAGGATAATTGCTTATTTTCAGGAATTAGGCTAAACATTAGCTAAGTAAAGTTACTATTTTCCACACAGTCACCAACATAATCACTCAATTAAAAAAACAAAAAAAAAAACAAACAAAAAAAACCTCTACAGAACAGGTCAATTTACCCTGTAACCCATGCATGCATTTTTCAGCTAATTCATCCTGGGAGGTATATTTAGTAGACCATGTTAGGCAAAGTAGGCTTTTTAGTTTTTTTTTTTTTCCCCATGGCTGTTGATGATAATTGGCTATACCTTCTCCAAAAAGCTTTTGACCAGACCCATCCTTGCTTTATAATGAGGTCTTAGGAAAAATATTGCTCCAGTAAGGCCTAAACTCAAAACTGACTATAGTTAAAGCCAATACTTTTCTGCAGAAGCAATCTCCCTGGATTACAGGCTACCTCACCCTCTCAAGGACATGACTCATCAGGATTCTACTGGTAAAGTCTTAGGTAAAATAATAAAGCACCTGCCTTAATGACCAGAACATGAAGATAGTCCCTTCTTTCCTTACTGCTACTCACATTTCCACTTGCCAGCTTAATGTCTAAAACATAGAGATCTGTCATTAATTAGCAGCAGCTAGCACTTTAGACCTCTATTAGAGGGTAGGGAACAACAGTTGTATCCATTAAAATATGCCTGGCTGAAAGAATGTCAGAGGTTCTAACTGCATGCTATATATCGAGTCCTACAGTCTTGTTAATTTCCATCCCCAGATCAAGTACATCTCTGGAAGATGAAGTGTGTGGTCGCTGGCTACAGTGTCTTCCTATAAAAAAATAAAAAAATGCTTCGTCTCCCTCAGGCAGACCCTGCTGTACACCAGGGTACATGGTTTGATGGGAGGAACATGGGCTAGATTTCAATCTCCACTCACCCCATGAGCCGGATGCCCTGATCCATTGTTCAATCTGAATAATTGTCCAGGGCAGCCATGGCTTATGTGCTTAGAGGACATTCCCTTAGTCCTATGAGGAAATCCTATATCACGCTTCAGCTCTAAACCTTTATTATCCTCATGTCTTTCCAGCTATATTTGTTTAGGTTCCTATGTAAACCAATATTTCCCAGCCTTTTCAGTTTCATGGACCAATTAATCCCCCTGCCCCCCCCCCAAAAAAAACCCATCAAAAACCAAAAAACGAACAAAACACACAAAGGTTTTTGGGGGGAATTGATATAGGGTGGCCACATGTTATTTGAGAACAAAAAGATGATTTAAAGTATGTTGTTTACTGAGCATAGTGATTTTAAAATCGAAGGCCAGTATTTCTCAAGAAATCAGAGCTGTCTACTTAGATGCACATTCTTACTTTGACAAAGTAACCATCAGTGTGTTGGGGAACTGGTGCCACGGCCATCACCGCCTGCCTTCCCCATCTGTACTGCTCTCCTCTGGGCACACTGGCTCTCCTCAGGTCCTCCAGCCCAGCTGGCCACTTCTCCTTCTGTTCTCTTAACCTGGTTTATGCCCGCTCTTTCCAGTTTCAGGTAGGGGTGACAGGGACGGATTCTAAACCAGAGACATTAAAGCAAATTTAGGAATTGTTACTGTTTCAATAAGTGATACAAAAGTACACTAGGTTGTATATCAATAGGTTTGCTATTTATCACGCCTACAGACTATGAGCTTCATGAGAAGAGCACTCATACCCACTGTTTTGCCTCTAGCACTTGACACAGATCTGGCTACATAAGTGCTTAAGTGTTTGTTGAACGGATTAAACCAGCATCCTTTAGATAATGTGCTCTATGAGAGATCTGAACTTTGAACCAGAAGAACCTGTTCTCTTCTTCTCTGAATGTTAAAGATTATATCATTTGTTTCTCACTGTGCTCCATTTCCAAGAATCTTAAGCACAGGTTTATAGTCCATCACAGCAATAATGTTGACTCTTCTGGTTGGAATATTGACTCTGTTTCCTCTTTCAAATTTTTCTTATTATTTTACCCTTTATTATAAGCTGTTCTAAGCTGTTTCAAATTCCTCTTCAGAAAGATGCAGGGTGTAAATAAGTAAATAAAAGCCTTCTAGTGCAATCGCTCACCTGGTCCTGAAATAAAATGCTGACATTTCAAATGTGCCTTATTGTAAAGGTTAGATGATTAAATATATTCTTCTTCTGCTACCTCAGATTACCCAAACATCAACCACATGCAAACCACACAAATAGATCAGACTTTTGAATGAAGGCAGTTCTAAGGGACAGATAGATATTTGAAGATCAAAGGAAAAGAAAATGCAAGGGATAGCATTCTAGTTTAAAAACCAACCTTAAGAAAACTATCACATATATTAACATTGATGCTTATTATATGCCCTTTTAAAAAATCAAAAGAAGCCAACAGCCAGCTGATGTATTTTCCAAAGATTCTAAAGAAGCGTTTAGAGCCTTTTCTCCCATGAAAACAAGTTTATGTAGGTCCCCTCTTAACATTCAAAATGATCAGATTAGCTATCTCTAGTTCGGTAAGCAGTACTTAAAATGGTGCCACATATCAATTAAAATTCTAATTCTGCATTATTTTCTAATAAAAAGAATTTAACACAAAATATGCATAGGTTAATAATTCCTAATTGGCTTAATTACTCATCTAAGTTATATATCTCCTGCAGTGTCTGGCAGAGTTTTATTATCTCAGAGGAAAGCTCTCTGTTTTCAGAAGAGGAAGTTCCTGCCATAAGATAAATCAGCTTAGTTTATCTACTAGCTCACCTACCGAAACAGATCAGAATCCTCCAGGTAGAGAGCCACTTGGAATGCTAGCCGTCCTCATCCCCTCACACGATGGTTAAACAAACTGAAGCAGAAGTTAACCGACTTGCCTAAGGCCACGCAGAGAGCTAGCAGCACTTAGGACTAAGTGCGCCTGCAGCCTCTAAAGAGTGCTGACTCGGGGGAGCATCTATCGAAGGAGTCAAGTGGGAAAGGAGAGGTTAACAGCTCTAAGAAAGCACACTGAAGTGTACCCTGAGCGCATTCTGAAGCTCCAAGAAACTAACCCCCATGCGATGTAACAAGAGGCCATGTCCTTGCTGTCGTATCTGAGGACTCTCCGCCTGCCAGCGTTCTTGTCTCCAGAGCCACAGACTACACTGTCATCAGTGTGCACAGCTCTTTTGTGGAAACATGCAGGGCTGGATTCGGAACTCAAGGCTCTTTCGAGGGCAGGAGGGCAACGGAATGTAATCTGGCATACTTCATGAGCCGCCTTGAATTTAATCTAATTCCACAGGGTAAGGGCCTCTGATGAAAGGCTTAATGTGAGTATAAAAGCACCATTTTCAACCCATCTGGGAAAATAAGGGTGTTTGTCTTTCTGAAAAGCTGAAAAGAAGGTTTGGCACAGAGCCTGGTGTCTTTCTTGGTAGGCATAGCAACCCTTGTATTCAGATGAGTAGAGGGGAAAAGTCCCAGCTCAGAGCGGAAGGCTCTTTTTACGGTGGGAGCACCTGAGCCTTGTTGTCAATACTGGTAGGTGCTTTAACAGGGGGCACGCAAGAGCTTAGGCTCTGGAAACAGGCTAGTTTTTCACTTCCAGCTCCAAAATTTACTAATTATATGACTTTGGTAATATGATAGTCATTAAGCTGTTTCCTCACCTGTAAAATAGAGGTTGGGAGTAGGAGTGAATACAAATAGTCTCTTTAATCCTCAAAACTTGATGAAGTAAAATGCCTAGCTCTTTAGTTGGTACACAAATATTTTTTTTTCACATTCTACCAACCTCTTCTTTCTATTGTCTTCCCTTCTTTGCCTCTGACAGGAGACTTGGAGAAAGGAGCTGTGGATATAGTCAGGCCCATCCCTAAGGTATCTGGGGCCAGGGAATGCTCCTCTGATAGGAACAATGGATCCTCAGAAGAGAAAGTGATAGCTCCTCTGTGAAGCCATCCACATTTCCTCAAAGACAATATCTGGATTGCACCTTGCAAATTAAGGAGGGTTTAGTTGGGGGCTGGGGAGAAAGGGGAGGGCCCTCATGCTGTCATTTTAATCCTACAAAGGGATATGATGGGAGATTCGTTTCTAAACACCCTCAGCTTCAATTTCCACACTAGTAAATTAGGACTGACCTGCCCAAGGTCACAGAGATTAGTTTCTATGTGGCAGAGAGCCAAACCTTACCCCAGATCAAGTCTTCGCTACTCTGTGGCTATCCCTCACCCTACATATAGTGTCCTGTATGGGCACTGAATCCATTTGTAAACAAACCTCTTACTCTGGCCGTGCTGCAGCAACCCACTCTGCAGAGGCTTCAACCAGCTACCTGCACACATAGCCTGGGTCACCTGAGACTAAACCATTGCCTAGGCAGCGGTTCTCAACCTTTCACAGGGGTCACCTAAGACCATCGTAAAACACATACTTTCGATGGTCTTAGGAACCGAGACACCGCTCCTCTATCCGTCTCCAGGCCCACATGCAGATACGCCCACATACGAGTACCCGGCAACCCCTGTGAAAGGGTCATTCGACCCCCAAAGGGGTCGCGGCCCACAGGTTGAGAACCGCTGGCCTAGAGGTTTGGAAGTGGGAAGTGAAAGAATCACAGGATTTCTCTCACTGTGTTTCGGTATGCATACACACAATCTAGACATGTATGTCCACGGGAAGGACTGGAGAGGATGGATAAATGATAATGGTTCTCAAACACATTTCCTAATGTTCCTTAGATGGTCCCAAAGGATTGAACACAGTCATTGGAGGGGGTGATCTAATGCATTACTGGGTTGACCTTTTTTGTTCCTGGTTTTACTCTCCCTGAACCACGGTCCTGCTCCCTGCACCATCCTTTGTTGCCCTGAAAGCAGAGCCAGAGAGTCACTCCCAAGGTTTGCCCATATCCTTCTCCCACCCCTCTCCTGCTATAAGGATGTTCTCCATGATCTAAAAGTCACTTAGGAACCTCATTTTCATTTGTGTGATAAAATGACTCATATTCTGAGTCTCTTGGATGACCACTTTAAAGAGCTGCCACACAATTTCAGTGTCAATGTTGCCGTTGTTTGGCACCAAGTTGTATGATTTTATTCCATGTTAATAAGGACAGGGGCAGACTTATGTGACATTTTTTCATCACCTGAATGCCAAATGATATGCCACCTGGAAGGTAACACCAGTGACTCAAAAAAAAAAAAAAGTAAATTTGTACTAAAAATGATTTACATCAATACTGGGGATACAAGATAATGTTTTTCTAAAAATGAATTATGTAGTATTCAAGTCTGAGAAAAACTGCCTTCATATAATTGTCTAACAGAGTTTATAACTCTAGTCTTAGATCATACTTGCATTTCTAATCACACCCAGGTATTTTTACTCTTGAAAACTTTTGGGCCTTTTGAGCATTTTGAGCCTTGCCTCTGCTCGGGGCCTGCTCCAAACTCTTTGGAGTGTACTTTCTTTTGTAATAACGGCCCTTGAGCCATTCTCTACTTCTTGGGCCTGCTGCTGCTTCTTTGAAATGTATTTTTACTTGTAATAAACTCTTTTTCTGCAACTTTAAAAAAAAATGGGGGGCTTCACACTCAATTATTAAGAAGCACAATACCATCTTTTTGCCATGACATCTGGCCTTTCTAAACTTCTTAATTTTATAAGGTGCAATTTTTCTAGATATGAAAACGTTGAGTTCTCCGACAACTGTAGAATCCTCAAAAATGTTGAGCTGTTGCTTTTTTCAATCTCACCATGACCGCCCTCACTGTTAGAATCTGTAATTGAAGTTCTGTTAACAACTTCCATTTAATCATATCACCGGAGGAACCAATTTTCTCCATTTCTTCTATAAAATATACTTTCTTAGGTCAGGTTCCCTAGAAGCAGAGCCAGGGATGGGGGCTCTCACGCACCTGATTTTCTAAGAGTGCACTTTCAAGAGAAAGTCTTAAGGAAGTGAGGGAAGTAGGACAGAGAAGGGAAAAAAGCCAAGCACAGATGAGCATGATTGATGAAATCTGGCACAGAGAGAACACTGGAGCATGAATGACACTCTAGCCTTCTTCATCCTTGAGGTAAGGGGTTAAATTTTCTATCCTCAAATCAGTCAGCCGTTAGCCATGAGCCAGTCCAGATAGGACACACAGCCTCCCAAGCATCTCTGAGCAAGGGTGATTCTCTGGAGAAGAGTGCATCTATGAGCCATTAGCAGTGAACACATGTAGCAGCTAGAGGCTGGGTGCACCTGCTCAGCAAACAGGATCTGGGAAGGACATTCATAGAGGCTACTGTTCATACTGACATGTACCCATCCACATGGTTAGTCATCTATAGGGTCCAGCCAGGAGACAGTAACAACCATAGGTCTTTTATAAAGAAATTAATTACAGGAAATGGGCCACATGGGTGATGGGAAGCAACAAGGGTGAGTGAGGCAAGCCCGTGATTAACAGTAACAAGAAGTTGCTACAACCCCTAGGCCTGGAGGGCAGGAAGAAGGTGGCGGTAGCAGTTAGGGCTATCTGGTAGGAGCTAGAACTCCTGGGTACACACAGATGACACACCCCAGGAAGTAAGGAGGGAAAAATAACCTGGCTTTTCTCTTCCCCTCCAGCCTTCTGCCTATGCCTCCTATTGGCTAAACCTATATAGAAGCCAGAGTGATGGGGGCCAGGGAAATATAGCTCTTTGTGATGCACAGCAGAGTAGGGAAAAAGCAGACAAAGAATAAGAGTCAATAGGCAGATGACTGACACAGCCGCTATAGCACATGTGAACTCTTCTGTTCACACCAAGTGAGATGTGTGCTTACCAACACAGCTGTATGTCATTTTCTCCATTATATAGATATGCTACTGGGGAGACATAGACATCTCTTTAGATTAAAATAGAAGTTATCAAATTTATTCCAGGTCTTAGTTAATTCAATCAAATGTATACATACCATGTGTTGTTTCTAAGCTCAGTCCCTAGTTATCAAACTGTGGTAGAGACCAACAGCGAAAGCTACACTCCTCCACGTGCCCATCCCCTAGCCCAGATTAATTCTAGGCAAAGAGATAAGGAAAAGGTGGAGGATGTTTAAGGTAACGTTAAGAATTGAGTTCCAGGGCCGGCAGAGTGGCACATTGGTTAAGAACTGGCTTGGGACACCAGAGGGCCCTGGTTCGGATCCCACATATGAGGGTCAGTGACACTGCCCTCTACAGCTAAGATGCTGAACAACAGCTCAACCTGGAGCTGGGCTGCCATGAGTCGCCAGAGATGGCAAAGGCTGCAGATCCTGCTGCAGTGGGTTGCCATGGGCTACCGTGTGTAGCCAGCAGCCAGTGTGAGCAGCCAGCAGCTGCAGTGAGTGGCCGTCCAGAAACCAGTGACTGATCTGCCTCGCCGGGGAAGAGCGCAATGATGGTGTCAACTTGGGCCAGTGAAGCAACATCCTTCACAACTAGACTGAAGAACAAAAACAACAGCAACTTGTCTGTTCCCCTGCCCCAATTCCCCAATAAAAATTCTTTAAAAAAAAAAAAGAATTGAGTTCCATTCTATTAATAATTTTGGCTCAGGCTGACTTGGCAGGACCTGCCCTTTGCTTGAATTTCCATGTTCTCTTTCAGATATCTGGGTAAATAATACTTAATATTTGATATTTTCAAAATGTTAGTCATCACCTGAAGTGTTTCACCATTCACTAAATAACATAATTAAGCATTAACCATAGATCCAAATTTAATGGGTACATTTTCATGTGTCTTTAGTTATTTGATTTGTGTTAGTGCTTGAGACTCCTCAAGAGATAGTTTAGACAATGGCTGCCCTAAACGGGCTTAACAAGTGATTACAGGCTTATTAGGAAACACAGAGAGACAGGCTTCCCAGGTATTGTTCTCTACCACTTGCAAGTTAAATAGATGGGGAAAAAAATGCAGGTTGGCTATGAATGGAACAATTTTTCAAGTATATATACTACATGCAGACACACAGACTGGTTTCCATTTGGTAAGCAGAAGAAAATAAATAATAGAATTCTGCAAGTGCTCTCAACCCCATATTTCTTTAAAACAACTTAGAGGGTTTGTGAGTTATAACCTTCTACTGACTCCATAGTACATTTTGGTGAGTGATAAAATCTAATGCAAGAAATAGGATTTATGTGTGGGCATATTACCACAAAGTTGCCAAAGCTACATTTCTAAAAAAAATTATGACTGAATCTGCCTGCTAAATATTGAGTTCAAAAAAAGTTTCTGCCTTCAAAGAACTTATATACTGGGGCAAATGACATAGGGTCAAATATTTATAATATTATATACTAAATAGTTACATCTTTACCAAATCCAAATTTTAAGTGGTCTCTCAAGCTTTCAAATCAGTCTTGAGAAGCACCAGAAGGGTATCCAGTTCTATATCTGCTGAGATGAGAAGTCAAATCCATAATTATAACACACAAGCATATTCATTCCAATTGCCAATGTGCACATGGGATGCAGCTAATTTTCAGTGATGAACAACTTTGAGGATCAGGATTCAGACCATTATACTATAAAATTTCTCTTGATAATTCAAATGAATGACTCTGACTTGCCAAAAAATTTCAAAAAAAATGAACAATTAAGACAGCTGATTTTTTTCCCAACAATTAAGAAGAGAACAATATGCCATTAACTCCAACAGAATATGATTGATGAAAATAACACAAGTGTATTAACTGACATTTCTGAGGAATTTTATATTTTCCAGACGTTTTTCTCCCAAAAGCAATATATAAAATATGTAACTGCTTTGTATCCATATAAGACTTATGTTTCCTATAGATAAATATAAAAAACTGGAGATAAAATAATAGTTTTTTATTATTATAGCCTAGAATTTCTCTCTAGAAAAATATATTTGCTCTAGTCTGGGTAAATATGAGTAGTATAGGAATACAAATTTGGGGAGTGATCACAGAGGAAAAGAAAGTGACAATTAAAAAAAAGTGGGGGATGTCAATAGTACACAGGCATTAACCTCAAAGAGCCCTTAATGACCAAAGCTGGAAACATTAATCAACAAAATAACTTATAACATTGGATTATAATATTGGATTATAACAAAGGATTTTTTTTAAAACCCATGAGTCCTTACTGATGGAAATAGTTGAACTTTTCCCTTAGCAAAGAATATATGTACATACCATACATACCACCCTACTCTAGGAGGCAGAGCTTAATCCCCCTCCCCCTGAGTGTGAGCTGGATTTTGTCACTCGCTTCCAACAAATAGATGATGAAAATGGGGAAAATAGTAACGTTACAGTGGAAAAACCAGGCAGAGATTACCTTAACCAAGTGATCACGGTTAACACAGTCAATAAGTCATGTTGTTATCATGTACCCTAATATGATGAGAAGAGTACTTTATTTGTGTTAGTGTTTTCTCACAAAACCCACCACCCCAATCTCATCAGGAGAGAAACAACAAAGCCAGCTTGAGAGAGAGTCTACAAAATATCAGATCATTACACCTCAAAACTATCAAAGTCACCAAAACCAAGGAAAGGCAGAAATTGTTGCAGAAAAGAAAAGACTTAAGGAGACATAACTACTAAATGTGATGTGGTATTCTGGGTTGGGTGGAACAGCAAATAGAAATTAGTGGATAAACTGGTGAAATGCAAATGAAATCTGTAATTTAGTTAATAGTATTTACCATTGCTGATTTCTCAGTATTGACAAATGAACCATGGTTATGTAAGACGTTAACATAAGGAAAGCTGGGTAAAAGTAAACAGGAACTCTCTGTAACATTCTTGCAACTGTTCTATAACTCTGAAATTATCCTAAAAGAAAAAAAATTAATCACAACCCAATGAAAAAATGCAATATATGCAGACAAAAACAAAGTAAATAAAAGAATAAGATGAAAATGGGATTACAGATCTAAGGAAACAAAACATACATTAAAATTTCTAAAGAGAACTAATAATATAGAGCTAGCTAAGTACAGAAGAGATACTACTGAAAGCCAATGACCTTGTATATTTTTTAAAAACCTACAGTTCTCCTTCTGCATGTCCCCTTTACTACTCTGATCACCAGATGTGTGCTCACTTGAGATAACTGGGGACAGGGGTGGGAAATACAGTGGACTTCAGTTTGTAGTGTGAGAAAAATATGAGGAAAGAATTTTGAGTTGAATAGGAGGTAACTTAAGAAAAAAATGTCTGCAAGACGATAACTGTAGAAGAAAGCAAATGCCTCAGAAAACAACAGATGTGTTTGGAATCTTCAGAAAAAGGAAATGAATAAAATTGAGGAAATAAGAGCAACCGTCGACTTGGAATTCAATCATCTATTTCTACTGTCACATTTCTGGAATTCACGGGCAAGACAAAAGGATGGTACAAAGCTCTTCAGAGACGACTTGCAGAACTATATCAGAGCGTGCAATGTTAAAAGCAAAAGAATGTACAAGAATTAGAAATGTAATCCATGAAGCACATGTAGGATATAAAATTGTTTTGCATATAAAATAAAAAGCTGAATTGAATGGAGAAGATAGGTTTAGAGGGCCTAGGTCTCTTCATTCTCAAATTTTAAAAAGACCAACTCCAAGACCAGAAGACAGAAATTAGAAGAGATATTCATAAATGTATAATTTCCCTTTTCCTTCCCAATGGGAAATGACATTTGCTTTCATTTAATTGTAATACTATGAAAACAATTCAGCTAAATAGAAATATTTAATGTCATTACTCATTTTTGATTACTCTCACTCCCTAGAGTAAAGCATATTTTGATAAATATAATAGGATTCTTAAAAACAAAGTGTTTGCGAATTTACAATTCTGTTGAAAGAGGTAACAACAAAAACAACAAAATCCTGAAATAAATGGGCTTAGACAATGAAGGAAATTTTCTGAGAAACATAACTGAAGATTCTGGGAGCCTCAAGCCAGTTTGATCCAAGACTCACCTTATCAGGTCCCATGTCTCTGCTTCGGCTTCTCTGTGTCTGCTCGATATACAATCTTGCTCCACTTATGGTAACAAAGTGGCTGCGGAAGTCTCAGGCCTGACACACCACCAAAGCCCGATGAAAAGCAGTTCAAGCCAGCACCTTTTGATGAGAAGTTTGTTTCCCAGAAGTCCAAGCAAACAACTTTTTGCATGTTATTGGCTCAGCTGGGTTATGTTTTCATACCACCCATTACACTGGCTTCCCCCACTCCCTCACTGTTTTTTCCTGGGAGCACGGTTTTAATAAATAGGTTGCATCTAAATCTTTGGCTAAGCAGCTGCTTGTAGTAGAATCTTCCCTGAAACCCCCTGGTGAGTTATCCTTGAAAGCCCTGAACTGTTCCTTTCCACCCTCACATCTCTGCAAAGGTTGGCTTTTCTCGCTGTGAACTAGACACTCATCTTCTCACATACTCCCTTTCCTAGGTCTGTGCTGCTTCTCTTCTGACCCAGCCTCCTACTTCTGCAACTCACATCTCCTCCGTGCACCCTCTGAAAACATTACTCCACAATTAACTACCCTTTCCCCATAACCTGCTTACATTTCTGCCACTTGCCAGCCTAAATTCCCAAAGGCACTATTTCCCCTTCTCCTTTTTCTTGAGAAAGGGTGACTCATCTTCCTATCTTTCCTCACACTGGAATCTGGAAATAAAGCTGGCAATCTCCTTGCTCAACAATGCTCTTTTCAAACCATCAGTTCTGTATCTTTAGGACATCTTGATCTCACTGTGAAAATCTGAATTTCTTGTGAAGTGCCTTGCCCTTACAGGAGGGCACCTGGGGAGTGTAAACTCTATTTAAGATGGATGGGGCATATATGGTTAAGTTATAGTATTGTTTATATCTTTTATAGGTATGAAATGCTTTTTTGTTTTTGTTTTTGTTTTGTTTTTTAAAAGATTTTATTGGAGAATTGGCAGAGGGAACGGCGTTGGGGAATCGGAGAGGGGAACAGACAAGTTGCTGTCCTTTTGTTCTTCAGTCTACTTGTGGAGAATGTTGCTTCACTGGCCCATGTTGGTATTATCATTGCGCTCTTCCCGGCTGAGGCAGATCAGTCTCCAGCCATTGGACGACCGCTGACAACTGCTGACGGCAGCTCACTGCAGCCCCACTGCAGCCTACACTGTCACTGGTGACTCACAGCAGCCCAGCTCCAGGTTGAGCTGTTGTTCACCATCTTAGCTGTAGAGGGCAGTGTCACTGGCCCATGTGGGATCCAAACCAGAGGCCCTGCTGCTCAGAGCTGGTGTCCCAAGCCAACTCTTAACCAACACGCCACTCGGCTGGCCCAGGTATGCAACGTTTTAACGAATGCTTGTGGTGTGATGTCATCTGTCTTGGCTTTCCTATGCCCCTCCCTCATTTGTTATCTACCAAATCCTGATCAAGGTCCCATAGATTTTGAAAAGTAGCACCAAAATGCAGCCCCCCCTCTCTGTCCCCAGTGCTAACAATATTCTGGTGATTTTGATGCCCATGTTATGATAAACCAAAAACTCTTGAGGAAAACAATCAAGAACTCTAAAACTCGGCATTTCTCCACTCAACCTATCAGTTCCATAGAGGGATTCCTGCCCTTATCACCCAGAACTGTCTCATTCCTGACATCTCAAATTTAGAATGTCCTACCCCTTAAAATTCTCATCACAAGAAGAAAAATTTTGTAACTATGTATGGTGATGGATATTAATGGGACTATTGAGGTGATCATTTTGCAATACATACAAATATTGAATCATTGCGTTGTATGCCTGAAAATAACATGATGCTCTATGTAAATTCATAACTCAATAAAAACAAATATTTTAATTTAAAAAGAGTACGTCATTTGAAAAAAATGAAAGAATAACCTACCCTGAAACAACTGTGTCATTCTAACACTCACTTTCTTCTCACCTCCCACGAAACTAACAATTTTTTTTTAAGTGGTGAAAGAGCAGTTTACTAGAAGAAAAATTACACTTCGAATAAGCAGAAGCAGGTCCAAGCAGAAAGCAGTGGCTCAAGGGCCCATTATTAGAAGAGAAAGTACTCTCCAAAGAGTTTGGAGCAGGCCGAGCAAAAGAAGGACCTCAAAATGCAGAAACCAACAATCTTAAGATTGTTCCCATTTTCACCTAGGCTAATATATACATATATATATATATATATATATATATATATATATATATATATATATATATATATATATATATATATATATATATATA